GCAATAAAATTATGACATTTGCAGGAAATTCATGGAGTTGGAGAATATCATGCTAAGTGAAATAAGCTAATCCCCAAAAAACCAAAGGTGAAATGTTTTCTCTGATATGTGGATGCTGATTCATAATGGTGAGGGGGCGGGCAAGGGAAGGGAAGAATGAACTTTGGATTGGGTGGAGGGGAATCAGTGGAGTGGAGGGGGCATAGTGGTGGGAAAGATGGTGGAATAAGAGAACATCCTTATCCTAAGTACATATATGATTGCACAAATGGTGCGACTCTATATCAGGTACAACCAGAGAAATGAAAAGTTGTGCTCCAGTTGTGTACAATGAATTGAAACGTATTCTATTGTCATGTACAACTAATTAGAACAAATAAAATTTTTAAAAAGATGCTGGCAAGGTAGAATTCACTCTGAGGCCTCTTTTGGAAGTTTGTAGCTACTCTCAGGAGCTGTTTTTTTGTACACATACATGTAGGGGAAGAGAGAGAGAGAGTGCAACTGCACACGCCCACAAACTTGCTGGTGTTGCTTCTCAAGATTTTGAAAATAATATTTTCAACAATAAAATTAGTAACCAATTGAATTTTTATTTAAGTTTGCTACATGAAAACTGACAAAGTGATTTATCAGAGGAGATTCATTTTTTAGACATAACATTAATATTAACATTAATGCAGGCTTTTTATATATTTTTAAATCTATCAACTCTTAACTTTTAGATCTGGTCAGTTCATTGTCCTGTTTAATTCCCCTGTCTTCTTACTCTTACCTATTTTCTGTCTTACTTTTCTAATCATATTGAGAGTAAGTTATTGAAATCTCTATTTACTATTTTAAAACTGTTTCTCACTCCAGTTTTGTCAAATTTTTCTTCCTAGGTATATAAACGTTTATATTTGTTTGATCTTCTTGCTATACTGAACCTTTGATTAAATATAACATCCTTCATTGTCTCTTATAATGATTTTTTATTTGAAGTTTGTCTTGCCTGTTATTAGCATAGCCCCCCTACCCTTGTTGTATTTCAGTTACTTTTTGCAAGAAATACCTTGTTTCATCATCTCATTTGCAAATAATTTGTGCCTAGACAGCATATACTGGGATCACTTTTAATCCATTCTGCTAATCTACCTTTTGAATGGTGAGTTCATTCCATTTATATTCAAAATAATTACAGATAAGCACTTTGGTCATGTTACTAATTGTTTTCTATGTGCTTTACAGTTTTTTTGTTTCTCTTTTCCTGCATTACTGTTTCTTTTGTGTCTAGTTGATTTTTTTTGTAGCAAAACATTTAAATTCCCTTTTCATCTCTTATTGTATCTATTCTTCAGCCATTTCTTTTGTGGGTATCACATTTAACACACTAAAGTTAGAACTTCTAATTTGAATTTATATCAGCTTAACTTCAATAACATAAAAAGGTCTCCTTGAAAAGCTCTTCTACCCTTTTTGGTTGTGTCACAAAATGATACATTTATACTCTGTCTATAAAAAAAACATGAAATAATAATCTTTTAATGCATTAGTCTTTTAAATTCTGTAGAGGAAAAAAGTGTAGTTTTACACAATTGCAACAATACTACTATCGTGTTTACCATGTATTTACCTTTAATTATATCTGTATTTCTTTATACAGTTTCTAATTATTATCATGTATCCTTTCATTTCAACCTGCAGGACTCTCAGTAGCTCCCATTAGCATTTCTTGTAGGACAGGTATAGTGGTAATAAAGTCTCTCAGCTTTTGTTTATCTATTTATGAATGCCTTAATTTCTCTCTCACTTTTGAAGGATTTTTTTTTTTTTGCCAGAAATAGGATTCTTTTTTGGATGTTTAATTTGTTTGAGCAACTTTGAATACTGGATCACTGCTTTCTGACCTCTAAGGTTTCTGATGAGAAATCTGCTGATAACCTAATGGAGCATCTCCTGTATGGAATGAATTATTTTTCTCTATGTTTTCAAAATTCTTTTTCTCTTCACCTTTCAACTGTTTAATTATAATGTGTCTTGATCTGAGTCTCTTTGACTTTATCATACTTGGAGTTGTTTAAGTTACTTGAATGTTTATGTTTTTAATCAAATGTGGTACATTTCAACCATTGTTTAAGTAATCTCTGTCTCTTAATTTTCTCTCTTCTCCTTTGGTGGTTATTGAGACAAGGCATATGTTGGTTCCCTTGATAAAATCTTCTTGGTCCCTTAGACTCTGTTCTCTTTTCTTCAGTTGTTCTTTTTATTATATTTTCTTCAAATTTATTGGTTCTTTTGCCTATTCAAATATGCATTTGAATCCTGTCAGTGAATTTTTTTTCATTTCATTTATTGTATTTTTTTTTGCTCCAGAATTTCTTTTTGATTTTTTAAGTCTTCTATTTCTTCATTGGTATTCTACTCTCTCTCTCTCTCTCTCTGTGTGTGTATACACACACACACACACACTACACACATACATTTACCATGATTTTCTCTGGTTCTTTTTTTCTTTTTCTTTTTTCTTTTCTTTTTAAATTTTCTAACATTTTTAAGATTATTGTTTTAAAGACTTTGTGTGGTAGATCTGCCATTATTTCTTTTTCAGAGACAGTTTCTGTTGGTTTTATTTTTTTTCTTTTGAATGAACTCTATTGCCCTCAAATATCTTGTGTGTTTTTTGCTGTTATTTGTAAGCTGTACTTTGAATCTGATAAGTTGTAACTCTGGAAATCAGATTCTCACTATTCCATACTAATGTTTGCTTTTTTGTTGTTATTAAAAAAATTATTATAGACAATCTCTGTGTAGCTTGAGATGTAAACTCCAGAATTCCAAAACAGTTATATTAAGTTCTGTTCATTCACTTTTTGTCTAGGTGGTGAAACACATTTCTGGTGTCTCTTACTCCCAGAATCCTAGAGGTTCTGTTTTTTAAAGTGCCTTCATATTTAGTCTATAATGATGTTGATCCTGTAAGTCAAGTTCTTGTCATCACTCACTCTATGGGTAATAAAACTTGGTGGCTTGCCCACTACAACTAATGTGTGACAGAGCCAACACTCATTTCCATATGTCTTTTAACTCGGTAGAACCCCTGCCTTGATGTAGTAAAGACCAAGGGTTAATATGGAAGTCAGGGAAGCAGAGCCTCAGATTCCAGAGTAGTGCACCAGCATCTGCTGTGCAGAGAGGGGAAGTGTGAGGTGGACTAAAACCAAATACGGAGCCAAGAGCTGAAACTGAGAGTTGGAACTGAAAGCAGAAAAAGCAGAATACAAAGGAGAATTTGGGGCCAAGAGCAGCTTGGAATTCTCTAAGGAGACAAGACCAGAAGAAATTTGTGAGGTTTGTTTTCAGTCCAGACCAACAAGTATGTCCATTTTGAAAGCTGAGATTTTCCTCTACTGGTCTTAAAAGTACATAGCATTCTGGGCCTGAATTTTAGCAGGAATAGGAAGGTCACTTATTTGTGTTTTTCATGAATTACACAGTCATATATCAAAGTATTTCAATGGTGACACAATTTTATGTATTTCTAGGTTTGCCTTTCAGAACACACTTTTGAAATTTGGACATTGATGAAAATGATCTGTATCTATCACATTTCAAGAGCTCGGTAGCCACATGGCTTTGTGGTTAGTGGTTACCATATTGGATAGATCAGCAAAGATGGATTCTCTTTGTCTAAAAAAAAGAGGGGAGGGAAGCTTTTTCAAGTAATACATGCACGTGTAAAATTACTGAAAATATTCAAAAAAGTGAAAAATAAAAGTGTTTTCCCTTGACTTCTCTTAGCTTCTTTTTTTTTTCTCTAATGATATCTACTATTAAAACTTTCTTTTGTATATCAGGTGCATACATGACTGTGTAACAATGAATTCCACTATCAGGTATAGTTAATGCACTAATAAAAGAAACTTTTTTTGCATCTCTTTAGGAAAGTATATTCATAACAATTTTTTATGTATATGCTTTATCTATGTGTGTGTGTGTACACACACACACACACACACACACACACACACACACGGGATTGAATCCATGGGTGCTTTACCACAGAAGGACATCCCAGCACTTATTTTTTATTTTGAGACAGGGTTTCACTAGTTGCCCAGACTGGCCTCAAACTTGGGATCCTTCTGCCTCAGCCTCCCAAGTTGCTGGGATTACAGGCGTGCACCACCTTACTCAGTTTGTATATGCTTTCCATGAGTTAAAAAAGTTTATTATGTTGGGAATAGTGTTTTATATCTTGTTTTAAAAAATTTAAACTGTATCTGGAAGCTTTTGGTGCAGTACTACACATATTGTATCTTCCTCTTATTAAAGGGTGCCCAGTGTTCCATTGTTTGGAAATGGAACGTATCAGTTCTCTATTCATAGGCTTTTATAATATTTCTAGTTTTTCCCCAAACAATGCTGTAATATATTCCTAACTGTAAACTTGTTAGATCAAAGGATAAGAGCACAGCTTCTCAAAGAAGTCTCTACAATGGTCTTGTAAAGTGTGATGTTTCTAAGCAAGGAGGGTATATAGAGTTTGGGACTAGGGTAGGGCACAAATAATGAAAACTGGAAAGAAAAGGAACCAGAGTTAATAAAAGATAAAGAAACTCTGGCTCTGTGTGGGAATAATAAATATTTGTATCAATAATTTTAAAAGTGGCCCTTAAAATTTAATTAGTACATTCCTTCCTAGGAATGACTAAGAATAATACTTTAAATGTCAATATGCTGAATTGTAATTCAGTAAAAAAATTGTAACTGCTATTGTCTTTAGTTTTATTGTAAAGACAGTGTACATTCCTTGCAAGTAATTTGAAAAATTCAAAAAAGTATAAATTAGAAAACATTTCATCTATAACATCACCACTTAGAGAACCACTATTAGTATATGATATTTTTGCCTGTGTATGTTTTCACAAAGCTGAGATCATATGTGTTTATATCCAAACATCTTGATAATGTTGATTTTATTTTCTTTCGTTATTCTTTGCCTGCTTTCATTGTTTTAGGTAACAGAAATCTAACATCATTTTGGAATGAATTTGGATACCAACGTAGCAAGGACATGGAGACATCTTTAGATTCTCTTCAATATCAAAGAAGACAAGCCATGGCCATCCCATTCATGGTACAGTGTGGTATGTATTTAATTCCATTCTAGTTAGCAAATACTAATGAATATCTAAATACGCAAGTCATGGTGTTAAGAAATGGTGGATTAGGGAGACGAAGATGGGTAAGCCATGGTCTTTGCTCTCAGGGAGGTTACAGTCTAGAAGAGAGGTTAAAATAATTGTAGTAGGGGAAAAGTAAGTTGGACAGTTGGGTCTTAAACCTCAACTAAATCAAGCTAGACAATACCAGTGCCTTGCTGGCCTCAGCTCCAAGACTTCTCCCTGGTTGGGTACTTCCTCCTTCACCATAGACAGGAATTAGTATCAGGTATACATTTCATCTTGAATATTTATGGTGGAGTCACAGAAACAGCCATTTTTCTATTTTTAATATGTAGTACTCAGTCTAATTCACAAGGACTACTTTGTAATTGTCAGCTAGATGCATAAATAATGACTAAATAATCAAAGACAAAAATATTATGTTGGATAGTATGTTATAGGGCCTTGAATTCTAGGATGTTTTAATTTTGATAAGTAATAAGGAAGTATTGGGCATTTTTCAATGGAATAATTGAATTTTCAATGGAAGAATTTTTCACTGAGCACTTGGTCTGCTTTCTAGCTATGAACAAAGTGTTATGGAATTGAGGACAGTATATATTCTTTGGCAAACAGTTCGATAAAGAAAATAGACAAGCAAACACTAAAGACCCCGATAGCATGTAAAACTTCATAGAAGTCTTGGCAAAGTGCCAGGGGCACCTCCCCCAAATCCTTTGCCTGGGTGGACCCATCTAGCAAGGTGGAACTTGTGTGTAAGTCACCTCGGTAAAGGGTGATTTGTGGAGGGTCAGACAAAGGGAAGAGTCACATCTCTGAGGATCTTTTGTAATCTAAGATCCATATGAGAAATTGTAAATGTATGAATAAGACTTTAGAGGAACACATGAAACAGATATTTAGAAGGGTCTGACTGAGGAAATCAATGAAAGTATCTGACAACCTATCAGATGATAATAATGGCTAACAATTACTTTATATAGTTTTGATGTGTCAGGTACTGTTAGAATTTTACTGTAGTACCTGAGGGCTGGATGCAACAGGGAAAATATTTGTCCTCTCAAAGGCTCAGTTTCTTCATTTATAGAATGAGACTAGTACTTGTAGTTCCATTTTGGAGGTGTTGTGAGAATAATATGCATTAATAAGTGTGAAGTTTCGTAACCCTTAGGAAGGTCTTTAGCAATGTCAATTTTTATCATCAACATCATTATGCCATTTAACCTTTAATAACCTTTTTGGATAGGTGCTAATGTTAATCCTTTTCACAGACCACCATACTGAACATAGAGAAGTTAAGCCATTTGTCCAAGATCATAGAAATAGTAAGAGCTGGAGCTATTCAGGTTTTAAACCACCATGCAAACTGTCCCTGCTGTAGATGAACAAATACAGGTTATTAACCCAATAGCAAGTAGCACTGTGTCAAGAGGGAATCCAGTTAGATTTAAGTGTAACCTAGAGAGAGTGATGTACCCTGGCCTACAGGCCAACAGGGTCTGTTAGGGGATATGGAGAATCAGAAACTTCATACTGAGACTGGAATAAGAACAAAGGAAAGTACAGAAGAAGAAAATGCATAAATGACTTAGAGGCCTTGATTTTCCTTTGTTAGTCTTGTGGTTGGCTACAGCAAGTGGTGGTGTCAACAAATGGGGAAGAGGCCGGAGGAAATGGGAGAGTCAGGGTCACTGGGATTCGTAATGTGGTTTAAGAAGAGGTAGAGTGGAATCTATTAAGGTTCTTCTGGCTAAAAGTAGCAGAATCCAACTGGAAAGAACTGAAGCCATAGTATTAATAGTAATAACGACAGTTCTTGATAGAAGCTTAAAGTAACTCATAGAATTCATCAAGCAAAGTGATGTGAGATGAGGGATTCTCTACTTTGGTGGATGTAAACTTGACAGATTTCTGTGACAGATTCATTTCTGATATGGTCTCTTGTGTGTGTGTGTGATTTTGTTTTGCTTATCAGATCTTTGCCTTAAATGGAGAGTCTTGCCTTCCTCTATGAATTATCAGGAAAAAGAATTTCATGACATGTGGATTTGTGCTAATAATCCTAACCTCTTGGAAAACAGGTAGTTTTTTTTAAAAAAGTTCTTTGTCCCTGTTTATTTCCTGAAGTCCATATTATGAAACTGGAAAATGTCAGTGATAGATTTTAGCTTAGAAGCTGGTCTCTCGTTGAACTCTTTCTAGCCCCTAGCTACTTGTGAAAAGATTATTTTGTTAAGTGTGCTTTTCTACTGGATGAAAGCGATCTGGATGTGGCAATCTGTACATGTCGGGCATGCAGTTCTGCACTTCCACAGGCAGAGGCTGCAGGCTCCTGAGTTCTGCCTTCCAGTTCATTTCCCACACAGCATACAACCTGATCGCACAGGAGTCTGACCCAGGGTGTGTATCTAGGGACATTAAACTGATAGACCATGTGCCTTTCCTATTTAAGTCGTATATTGATTTCATTGCTTCATGCTCTTAGAGAAAGAAGTTTAGACTAAAACAGGAAAAAGACTGATTAAATATTGATGAATGTCAATGTTATTACAAGCCCTTTTAGATTAATATTCTTTCCCTAGGGGAGAAAAGAACTAGTACTCCCCTTTAACAAAGGCACCCCTAACTCAAACATTGCTTCCACACAATCTAAGTCCACATAAGTGGATCAATATTGCTAATATAGACATTAGGGTAATAATTCCTGTGTGGTTATTTTTATCCAGCTCTGAAAAAAAGAGCAAATGTTTTTTTTAAAAAAATAGTACATATCTAGTAACTGCTGTTAAACCCTTTCTGCCTAGAGTCTCCTGGTTCGTCATGTTTATAGAATGAAGGAAAATGTCAGGGGGTACAAGGGCTTTTATATTTCACATGACCTGGAAGTTTTTCACTCTCCCTTTCTTGTTTTGAAAATTGACCTTTGTTTTCCCAAGTAAAATTTGTCACAGAACTGAAATACATACAACAGATAGATGCAGAACTAGTTGAATGGGAGGCTGGAAACTGAGGACCAGAGGTAGCCACTTCCCATTTCTGTCCCCTACTCTCTACAGAAGGCTGAGTGCTCCAGGGAACATGACTCTGAGACACACATCTAGTTTCACTTCTTCATTGAGAAACTTCAGAATCAAAGCCCAGACTTGTGCCTAAGACAGCTGTTCATGTGCCCTGACCAGGATCCTTTGACTATTATTCTACTCTGAGTGTGCATCCCCCTAAGGAAGGTGACCAGGATCACCATCAACTTGACCATCAACTTGACTCCATCCCTAACTTGACACTTAAATGTCTCCTAATAACAACACAGCATTGGCTCAGTTTCAATATTTAGAATAATTAATGATATTAATCACTTACCATGAGCTAAGAACTTTTCACAGAGCCTACGATTATATTTAGAGTCCAAACTCTGGGGCCAGACTGCCCAGGGTTCGACTCCCAGCTCCACCGGCTCATGAAACCTGATCAAATAAGATAAGGAACCTCTCTTTATCTTGGCTTCCTCTTTCTTAGAATGGGATATAATAAAGAATCTCAGTGCATTTTCTCCAAGTCCTGTGATTCACTTATCAGGACAATCTACTGAACCTGGCCTTTTGCAGGGGACTCGGAGAGGGGCTTGATAACAGACGGCCAGGATTGAGGCTGCTCCCACAGATTTAACCCCGTAGCTGTGACTTTGACCAATCTGGGGTGTTGCCAGCCTCACCGAACAGTCCTTTACAGCTTCCTTTATTTACAGTTTACCATGGTCCCTGAATTGGCTCATTCTCATCCTCTTCTTTGAAATATAGGAATGCCACTGCAGAACTTTGTAGAATAAGTTTCAAAGCTACATTAATCGTCTCTTACACATCAGAATAACGCCACTTGTGAAGAGAGAGGCAAGACAAATTTAGTTGTGTTGACAGAAAACTAACAGACTTTAAAATATATAAAATGCAAAAGTGTTTATAATTTTTAAAGTTCTTGTTTCTTTAAATACACCAACATAATATTGACCATCTGTATTTCATTTCCACTGAAGATTGTGATAAAAATATTCATAAAGTGGCAGAAGAGATTTAGGGGAGATGTAAAGAAAAACTGATTCGATTCCATTGTATTCATTCAAAGATTCGGGGATATAATGAAATTTTAGTATACAATACAACCCATACATATTTTTAAATATCTTTTTCAAAATTACTTTTGAAGTTAATTGAGAGCACTTAAATGTCTCCTGGGGAGAAAAGAATTAGTCTGGTGCCCTCAGTCAGTCCTCTATTTCAATATGGTAGACTGGGCCTTGCTTCTGCTAAGGTATGCCTTGAAATATTCCCTGAGTCATATGTACCATTAGATTTAAATAGGTAATGTAAAATAAGTGCATTAAATTGATGAGGAGTGAAGTAAAGCTGTTTATTAGACAACATTGTATGAGTACAGGAACAGAGTAATGAGGTGAAAAGTGGCATTGTCTGTATTTACAGAAAATATAGCTTGTTGTCAGTAGTTAATTGCCACTCGTCACAGGCTCGGTGGGAATAAAGAGCATTTGTTGTTTTTTTTTTAAGCAATACAAAATGTTTATTAAATAATAATAAAGAGCATTTGAATAAACAACGTCCATATTGTTGGAACAGAACTTGGATCAGAAACAGAATAAGTTCTTTTATAAGTCTATGAACTTTCTCAGAGAAGAAAACAGGTGTGCTGAGAAAGGTTCAGTGCCTGGCCCAGGATTCCTCTTTAGCGCTGGACTGGAAGCCAACGTTCCGATGCAGAATCTATATATACTCTTTCTGCCTTACCAGTCTCTCTCAGAAAGCATCCTTTTACATTTCAGGAAGCCCAGTTCCATTTAAATACTTTCTAGTGACCAAAATACACCATTTTTACAAGTGGTAGTATTCAGGGTCAATAACCTGGACAGGGTAAAACGGAGACATTCTTTTTCAAACCACCAAAGCCTCATTTTGTTTTCTACTTTGAGCACAGAGCAAGGCTGGGTATTGTTATCACAGTGCCTGAGAAATAGGTATCAGTACACTTTCATTACGTTCATGCTATGCATTTATTTGCATTGAAAATAGGAATCATTTTACCAGCAGGGTAAAAATGATGCCTTTTATTTGGCTGAACCAAAAAAAAAAAGTCTCATTTTTGAAAAGGATGTTAAAAAACATCTGTGGGTTGTATTGCATATCCCAAATTATATTATTTTCAAAAATAAATTTTAAATGAAGACAATTGAATGGGCTTAATTTTAATAAAATACTTGAGTTTTTCTTTTATGAATTAAAACTTACTGTTGCTGCAAGTTTCTTTTCTCAAATGAAATAGAAGCTTATGTAAGTACCACCCCACAGATGTCTTCAAATCCACACTATGGGTGGCCGTATATATAGTAGTTGTCCCTAGAATTTGTTTACCTAGCACCTTTCTTTGAAAGTAACAATAATAGCAAACACCATATGTGGGTGAACTAAGTGTTTGGTTTTTTTTTTTCACAGTAGTACGTGAATTTGATTGTCATTTCTCACTCTTCTCAGTTGGTAGAGGGCAAGAAAAATATATGCTGTAGCCCCGAAAAACAGAGAAATGGCAGTTTTCATTTGCTGAAAGGCCTTCTTCCTGTTCTCACCATCTTCTTCCTCTCCTAGCACAACATACATGCATTTTTCTACAAACTTTGACCTTTCCTCCTCTTTTTGGTAACCAAGTGAACCTCCCACCACCTCTCACCTATCAATAATAGAAAACTCCTTAACCTAGAATTTGACCAAGACCTGACCTCAGCATTTTACCCTCCTCCTGCTCATCCCCTGCTATGCCCTGTGTCCAGTGGGAAATGAACTTGCTGTCCATGTCAAGCCTTGGTACCAAGGTGAACAAAATAAAGCCTCTTGAACAGTTTGGCTAATTCAGTTTCCCAGAATATAGTCACAAAAGCAAAGGTAAGGAGGAAAAATGGCCTCAAACCTCCCAAACATATGTCTCTCTCTCTCTCTCTCTCTCTCTCTCTCTCTCTCTCTCTCTCTCTCTCTCTGTCTCTCTCTCTGTCTGTCTCTCTCTCTCTCTTTTGTAACCATAATGAGGAAAGTACTTACACACAGAATGCTACCTGAATCTAGTACAGAGGCTGGGAGGTAGGGTGACTACCAAGTGCAGACACTGACAGCAGCAGAGTGTTAGAGTGTTAGGGAAGCATGCTGTACCCAGGCCATCGGAACCATTTGGTGACAGGTCTGAAGTCTCAGGACACCCCCACACCCTGCCCTGCCCAGACTAACATCTCATACTGCGTCACAGGTCTTCTCAGTGATCCTGAGTCACCAAACAAAGGATTCGTGTGTTTCATAGGCAGAATTAATTGATATATTTTAGAGAGAGATATATATTTCTACCCTCGATTTTTTGCGGGGGTGGAGGAAGTGTTTGGCAGTAATGAGATAAAGCTCAATGATCCAAAAAACATTTTTGTAAAAGCCCTCATTTCATAATAATGTGGGATAAGTGAAGCATTAGCAAAATAATGAATAGTCTCCCATCTTCCTAAATATATGCTACCCTCCTCCTTTTCCATTTAGCTTTTTTCCATGTGAATTGGGAATATAAGGTCCTATGTTACCTAAAGTCATCAATATAGTGATCTTTGTTTGCATTTGATCTTTGAAGACATGACAGAAAATATAATTCCTTGCTGAAGTAAACCATCTTTCATAGACAATAGATAGCTTTGCATTTTCTCCTGATGTTAATTTTTTACTTGTTGATTCTGAAGTTGTCGGCAGGTAGAACGTCTGCCTTGCATCCCCCTGGGCACCATGAGCACAGTATTACCATCAAAAAATGAGAAAGAGAAGCAACTTAGAGAGTCGGTCCTAAGGTATCAAAATAAACTGGCAGAACAGCAGTCACAGGTGAGCTGTAATGAACTCTTTACAAATTCAAGTGTGACTCTTGAGCTGTTGGTTTCATATGTGCAAATTGACTAATGTGGTTTATTCAAGAAAAAATGTGTAGGCTCTTTTTTTCTTCCTTTTGTTATTTTCTTTTAATTTTTGATCTAAGAACTATTCCAGAGAGTGAGCCCAAAGAAAGGTAGAGAGTTCTATAAAAAAAAAAAAAAAAAAAAAACTTTGCACATGTGATACCTAAGCTTCTCTATGCAACAACAATGCCTGTGAGGAGCAGGAACATTTATTTTTACTTTGTAGCTGCAGGTGAAGTTTCATAGAGTTCAGCCAGCATGTCCAAGGTCACCTGGTCAAGATGGGGACATGAATCTGTATGATTCCAAAGGTTAGGCTATTTCTGTTTCATTAAGATTCTTTCCTGAGGGTGGACATTTTTAGGTAAAGAGCTCTTTTAAACAATATTAGCCTATTAACACAGAAAGACAAGGTCATATTTATTTGTTAAGAAATCTCAATAAATAAAACATTAGTATTAATAAACATGGGTAAGTGTAATAGTTTCTGGTGACATGTAGAAAAATTGTTTTGTTTTCTTAATAAAGTAATTATGTCTCTGTTTATTTTATAGAGTTAGCATCCAAATTCAGTGTTTTCAACTTTATTATGTATAGCCTGTCAGCTTTTTCAAATAGCACTTGAGCTGGTCAGCAGCATATGTCCAAACGTGTTGACTCCTCTGCAGAGGTCAGGAAATAAAAGGCTCATTAGAATAGAAAATTCTGTGATGGAGCTGGAGTCAAGGCCCCCAGTCTTTCTGGACTCTTCCAAGGTAAAGAGTTCTACCTTCATATCTCTTACACCTGGTGAGAGATCTGAGGTGCAGGTCAGACACACCTGACCCTCCTTTAGCAGGGATCTTGGTCTGTCTTGGAAAGATCCTGAGAACCTCTTTGGAAACATTTTCTGAGCACTCCCACATCCAGACAATAGCTAAACTTTCTATACGAAGTGGACATTGGTTTGGTAACAGAAGTCAGAGGTAAAGTTATCACAGCCTGAGATTATTGTAATAAAAAGGCAAGTAGCTCAATTCAGATCTTCCCATTCTGGAACATCTTACTTATGTGTAGTTTCTTGTGTGGCTTAGCACTCCTTGCAGCTTTGTAAAGGCATGCAGCCTATCCAGAATTGATTTTACCTTTTGGCTGTCTCTGGATTTTGTTTTTTCCTTTCCTCAAGAGGTCAGAGCGGACCCTTGGATATTAATAGTGTCAATCACGAAGTCTTAATTAGCTTGTTTGTTAAGGTTTGAATGTTTTATTCATCATTGAGGTAGAAATTTTGATGGCAGCTGATGGAATAACAGATTTGGGCCTTCAGTTCCACTCAATCTTTCTTGATAGTTGATTTTTCAGTAAAAATGTAAGCCAGGGTTATAGATTCAGTTTGTTTCAAATGTAACAAAGAAGTTCAACAGTACTTATGTAGAAATCTACTGGCATTAGTTCAGAGGACATAAGAATCCTCACTATCCTTCCTTTTCCTTTTGTGAATAAAAAATTTCACAAAATCCATTTGTGAAAATAGCCCTAAAATCTTTAAATACTTTCTCATAATCATTGCCCATAAGTAACCTACCCATAGGCAATCAACTAATTTTGAGGTGGTCACTGATTACAAACTTGTCCTTGTTCCAGGAAAGGCATTGTGGGGAATTCAGAGTAACCCTAATATCAGATTGTACCTTGAGAACAGGGATAGTCTCAGCTATACTTACTGAGACTCTGTGTTACCTAAAACAATGCCTGGCACATAGGTAAAACACACATCGGGACAATATACCATCCTCAAAGAAGTTTAAAAATGAGCAATCGCTAATAAGGCAATCTTAGTTCCATACTTGTCTGGTCATACCCGACACTGTAATAGGAATTTGTTATAAGATAGTAAGGGTGCTGTCAAAGAAAGTTCCATAGAGGAGATGGACAGGAACTTATGCCTATTTAGGGTATTTAGGGTAAATAGTCTATTTAGGGTAAATAGAGGGAAACAGACTGAGCTTTCCAGTTGACAACAACATAAAGAAAATCTTGGAAATGAGCACTGATTTTTTTCCTTCATGGAACCAACCTTTCAAATTACCTGCCAAGCTTAAGTGTTTTAAAAATAAACCCAGTACTTATGTGGTGGATCAATCTTTTTAAAACAATGCAATTCTTTATTAAATATGGTCGTTGCTGTATAGGAGATTCTGAAAGGTCACCTTAGTTCCCCTTCACCAAATCTATCAAACTGTTCAAAAACTCTATTTTGATGCTCTCCGCCTGATGCTAGCAAGAGGACTCACAATTATCTGATGCCGTGTGTGGATTTACCATGTTTCTGACTGTCATTCAGGAGAAGTGTTCTTAGGATGTGATATAAGAACAAGTGGGGACGCCAAAAACGTAGAGCTCTGGTTCCGTTCAGGTGCGGTGTAGACAGGTTCAAGTATGGACGAGATGCCTCTGGAAGATCAACCTAGCTCATCACTGTGATCCACTGTGTTTATTGCTCATTCTCTCAAATCAGGAGACCATAAGTTTATGCCATGTATGTTTTGCCCACCTCCACTTCTCTCTTCCTGACTCCCACTACCAGTGACCGCTGGGGAGCGAGCAACAGAAATGACTTAAACCTGCTCACTTTATTGCATACCCTCTTACATTTCAGCTCTGATGGCAGCTGGCATCCTGATTTGGAAAATAAAGGTGGGGTTAGGTAAATCCAAGGTCTTTCTGGATCTCAGGCTTTGTGCTTCTAGGTGTTGTGTCACCAATGCTCGAGAGAGTAGAGTGATGAGAGGAATGGTACTATGGTAATGGGAGTCCCAGCTTGCACACACCTTACCCAGGTGTAGGGATAAAGTCTGACTTCCAGCAGTACCCCCTAAACGCAAATTTAGGATTTGCTTCCCCCCCCCTTTTTTTTGCCTCATTCCAGCCCAATTTGTTCCTAGTCTCACAGGATAAATTCAGACAAAAGGACATAAGAACGTTTACAAAGCAACAAACTAATTTATTGCAAATTGTATTTGTTAAAGGAAATAGCCAAGTTCAGTAAACCTAACAGGAGAGGGCAAACTCAAGAGCTATCACCTGTGGTGCATTTCATAGAGTAAAGGACTGCCCTCATGCAATTGATAAGCTGTGTCGACAAGTCAAGACCCTCATTATGGGTTGTGCTGCTGAACGACACATTCCAATCTTTCTTTTTCTGAATAGATGACGGAGTAATCTGTGCCTGACTCCACTCGGCTACATTCCTCATTACAAGCCGTTTCTATACTGAGTGACAAGTGCCACCTGCTGGCCAAATAAAGCGTTTCCCTTTTCACTGCGTCACTTGATTGCCTGGCTACTAATTGGCAAATTAACTGGATAATTGTTATTCTGTTTTTCAGTGTATCCAGACAATAACTTAAAAACTTTACAGTGAGTTATAAAACCAACACCTGTGCATTTGAGGACTTTCTCAGTTTTGAGTCACAATTAAGATTTCTCTTCTGCCTTCCATTGTATGACGAGGATGACTGTGCACACAGATTGCAGTTTTAGTCACATTTCATTCAGGATTTTTTTGGTACTACTTAAAATGCATTCGATACTCCTCATCCCAATGAAAAGACCGATCATAACTTCATTTCCTGAATTAAATTACACTATATTGACCCCCATTGAATCTAGGTGATGTTACTAAGTATATATTTGTATAATCAGTCAGTTTGTGCAGAGAATACCTTATTGCTTAGGTATCCCCTAGGCCTTTCTGAGTTAATAGTTCCTAATTAATATTAAGTTGTTATTCCAGTGTTCAGCTCTAATCTGACACACCTTGCCTTTCTAGCTTCACTTTCTTCCACTCTGCATGGTGCTTTTCTGAGCTGCTTTGTGTCCACACACCCCCACACCCCCACCCCACTCCCACCCCGTGATCTCCACTTCTACTCTGAGTGCCTTTGTCCCCACCATTCTTGTCTGTCCTGGCTTCTGGTCCTCCCCAGTCCCTCAAGATCCAAAACCAAAATGCCAAACCCTTACGAAATCTTCTATTTTCCTGTCTGAAAAAACATTTCCTTCCTTTCAATTCTCTTCGTCCTGTGTATGCCCTTCTTAGAGCATGTGTTTACCTTCTACCTGGTATATTATGGCTGCTTATGTATCCAGTCCATCTCCTACATTAGACTATAATGGCCCTTTCTTTGAAAATAAAGAATGATTTGGTGGGGGGTGGTGTACTGGGGATTGAACTCAGGGACACTGGGTCAGTGAGCCCTATTTTGTATTTTACTTAGAGACAGGGGTCTCACTGAGTTGCTTAGTGCCTCACTTTTGCTGAGGCTGGCTTTGAACTGAGATCCTCCTGCCTTAAACTCCCGAGCCACTGGGATTATGGATGTGTGCTATTGTGCCTGACAAGAATGATTTTTTGTTCATCTGGGTTTTCTCATCAGAATATAGGCCAGGATTTTTCATGTAATACGATTGACCAGACAATGAATGAAGGGTGGAAGGAACAATTTGGTTCATAAAAAATTTGCTTCACAAGACAAACAATTTTTACTTGATCAGATTGGCTGACTACAGGTTAAAACTTACTGACTTTTGCATATATTATTGGAAACCAAAATGTTCTTACATTTGTTCACAATAAAAGAGTTATGTTTGGGATTACAGAGGCTGAATTTGGATTTCATTTGTTATGTTCCCAGCCTTCCCATCAAATGAATATCCCTCATAAAATCCCATGCCTATGGAAAAGGAACTTCAGCAATAGCGTCTGATTCTTTTACAGTGCTTATATGGACTCACAAAAAGAAAAATGAAATGGTATAATCTAGCAATTCCCATGTCGGTTGTTTTAGCAGTAAAATGTAGAGCAAAGGCGGCTTGCTGAACTTTTAGCTGTGTGTTTCAAATTGAAATTGCATATTGAGTACAACTTTGTAATGAAGAATGTGAACA